TATTTATAGTATATGCTAGAGAAGCATACTTATGGTATATGCTAGAGAAGCATACTAATGATATATGCAAGAGAAGCATACTTATGGTATATGCTAGAGAAGCATACTTATGGTATATGCTAGAGAAGCATACCTATGGTGTATGCTAGGGAAGCATACTTATGGTATATGCTAGAGAAGCATACTTATGGTATATGCTAGGATCATACTTATGGTATATGCTAGAGAAGCATACTTATGGTATATGCTAGAGAAGCATACTTATGGTATATGCTAGAGAAGCATACTGATGGTGTATGCTAGAGACGCATACTTATGGTATATGCTAGAGAAGCATACTTATGGTATATGCTAACGTTGATGATTTTTGTCTTATTTTTATAAATTTTTTATTATTATTGATAAATTTAGTTGCGTCTGCATTTATGATATATGAAGGGGAGTACAGAGTGTGTCAGAAAACTAGTTACATGATGCTAGGTGTGATAAGTAGTCTGCACTGGCAGACTCTGGGAGCATTATGAGGATATCTTCAAGAACACGAGAGGTAATAAAGTAATTGCAAAGCTCCAGGTACCTCATGTAGCCACCTGCCACAGGTAACGGTAGCCACCTGCCACAGGTAACGATAGCCACCTGCCACAGGTAACGGTAGCCACCTGCCACAGGTAACGGTAGTTACCTGCTACAGGTAACGGTAGTTACCTGCTACAGGTAACGGTAGCCACCTGCCACAGGTAACGGTAACCACCTGTCACAGGTAACGGTAGCCACCTGCCACAGGTAACGGTAACCACCTGCCACAGGTAACGGTAGCCACCTGCCACAGGTAACGGTAGCCACCTGCCACAGGTAACGGTAGCCACCTGCCACAGGTAACGGTAGCCACCTGCCACAGATAACTGTAGCCACCTGCCACAGGTAACGGTAGCCTCCTGCCACAGGTAACGGTAGCCACCTGTCACAGGTAACGGTAGCCACCTGTCACAGGTAACGGCAGCCACCTGTCACAGGTAACGGCAGCCACCTGTCACAGGTAACGGCAGCCACCTGTCACAGGTAACGGCAGCCACCTGCATTAGGCAGTGATGTGGTGGAGGCTGACTCCATACACAGTTTCAAGTGTAGATATGATAGAGCCCAATAGGCTCAGGAACCTGTACACCAGTTGACTGACGGTTGAGAGGCGGGACCAAAGAGCCAGAGCTTAACCCCCGCAAAGCACAAATAGGTGAGTACAGTCTGGTGGACGTTTTGTGCTGCCCATAAACATAGGTTTCAGATCTGAACAAATCGTAGCTTTTTATAATGATGCTTTCAGGCCATTAGGAGTGAGTGAGACACAGACAGTGATAAAGAAAGACATTTATACAGATTGATAACTATATCTGTCACTTCTTCCTGTAGTTTATTTACCAAATTAATCACCACTAGGCTACTACTGTTCTCTAGCAATTCGCTGGGCAGAAATCACTTTACCGCCTGAACTAGGCTTCAACACATAGAATATTTTTATTATTAAATAGTATTAATAGTATTTATTAATATTATTACTATTAAATACCTTAAATGATATTTATTGATTATTTTAATAATAATAAATAAATATCCTCACCTTTCACTGCTTCAAGTACATCAATATATATATTCCTCTCTCAAACACAGATAATCAACCGATTCTCCATATATATCGTTTTGTAAATTGATCTCGTAATCAGTGAGGCTTCTTCCTTATCGATTATTATTTTAGTAAACAGTAGAATCATTTGTCAGTTGGTCCTCGTGTGCAATGTCTGTGTCATTATAATGGGTTATATTTATGTGATGGTATCCATACAAAAGAGATTCGAAACCCTTTACTCTGTGCAGCGATTAGGTTACTTATAATTGCTAGTATGAGGTTTTTGCTGTCGATTTTCCAAGAGAAGTTTTCAATAACATTCAGGGTTTTCTAAAGATCTTGTTCTGTACTACTGAAACACTTGTTCACTAAGAATTGTAATGTATAATTGCCTTGTAACACTTATGTATATGTAATTTATATTGTATTTTTTTTAAATAAAGATAAAAAAAAAAGAAGTACTCAAATGAGGAATAACTCTCACTTTCGGTAGTGTAAATAATGAGGCTACGGGTTCACAATATATATTATATATATATTTATATATCTATATATCATTCACCTGAGCAATTAAAACCTTGAACATATATATATATATATATATATATATATATATGTATATATATATATATATATATATATATATATATTCATCAATGTTTTCCTGAAGCCAAAGAAACCTAATAAATGTATTGGCAGCATCGATACATACTTTTATGATCACTGAAAATTCACAAAAGAGTGGAATTTTCGCTTCACATAAAACCAATCACCAATCCTTCACCAATCACTTCTGCTAGTAGGAGCGATTGTCAGTACCATAAATCACTTCCTATTGACCAGATATATAAAATTTTGTCGTAGAAATCTGAGCAAGTAAATATAAATAAGATTCCAATGACCCCAAAGCCTCTTCCGCCAATACCGTTTGAATGATTTGAAACTCAAATTTCTCATATACGTGTCATCGTTTACGCATACTTATGGTATATGCTAGAGAAGCATTCTTATGGTATATGCTAGAGAAGCATACTTATGGTATATGCTAGAGAAGCATACTTATGGTATATGCTAGAGAAGCATACTAACGTATATGCTAGAGAAGCATACTTATGATATATGCTAGAGGCGAAAAAAGAGAACATAGTCCTTCAGAAACATCAATTGAAAAGTTGATTGCTTCATTCTGTTGAGTTCGGCCCACAATATTAATCCCTATGAAAACGAATCATGAAAGTAGGCAGGGATGAATTTGAAATGTGACTGTTTTTGGAGATAATCTTAGTTTTACAGTTATAAGCCGGATACTCCCTAATGAAATTCCCTTTTAAAACGAAGATTACATTTACTCTAATTAAATGGGATTATAAGCTGATTTCTCACCATTTCGCGTCCAAGCTCGTCTCGAACGACTTTTTCCATACACAATTTAACGAGTCTTTCGTCATTGACGAACTGGTAGTATAGATAGATAGAAGCGCACACATACTTACGTTAGAAAGAACTTTTTCAGTGTCAGAGTAGTTAACAGGTGGAATGCATTAGGCAGTGATGTGGTGGAGGCTGACTCCATACACAGTTTCAAATGTAGATATGATAGAGCCCAATAGGCTCAGGAACATGTACACCAGTTGATTGACAGTTGAGAGGCGGGACCAAAGAGCCAGAGCTTAACCCCCGCAAAGCACAAATAGGTGAGTACAGTCTGGTGCACGTTTTGTGCTGCCCATAAACATAGGTTTCACAAAACTGAAATTTGTTCGCTGAACAAATCGTAGCTTTTTATACTGGTGCTTTCAGGCCATTAGGAGTTAGTGAGACACAGACAGTGATAAAGAAAGACAGAAAAACATTTATACAGATCGATAACTATATCTGTCACTTCTTCCACGTTGTCTATTTACTAAATTAATCACCACTAGGCTACTACTCTGTTTTCTATCTAGGCTCAGGAACCTGTACACCAGTTGATTGATGGCTGAGAGGCGGGACCAAAGAGTCAAAGCTCAATCCCCGCAAGCACAAGTAGTTGAGTACTTAACAAGCACTATGCCAATTAGAGGGCAACAAATTGGTATTTGTGATAACACTACACCGAGTGACAGAAGACCCAGACAGGAATATGAAACAACTTGCCTACATTAATATAAGACAGAAAGCTGCTTCTGTCGTTCACAGGAATGAATCCAGGCTGTTAATCCTGAGGGACGTGAACCATGTGAGGATAGACTGGGAGAATGGATACACGCGTAGAGCAACAGTAACTTGTGAAACTATTTTCAGGAAATATGACGTCATGAGTGGGGGTGTGACGTGTACATGACGTCATGAGTCGAGGTGTGACGTATACATGACGTCATGAGTGGTGTGACGTGTACATGTCGTCATGAGTGGAGGTGTGACGTGTACATGTCGTCATGGGTTGAGGTGTGACGTAATGAGTGGAGGTGTGACGTGTCCATGACGTCATGAGTGGAGGTGTGACGTGACCATGACGTCATGAGTGGAGGTGTGACGTGTACATGTCGTCATCGGTGGGATGTGTGACGTATACATGACGTCATGAGTGGAGGTGTGACGTATACATGACGTCATGAGTGGTGTCGTGTGCAAAGATGACGTCACGGGTGGTGTCGTGTGCAAAGATGACGTCACGGGCGGAGGTGTGACGTGTACATGTCGTCATGAGTGGAGGTGTGACGTGTACATGTCGTCATGGGTGGTGTGACGTATACATGACGTCAGGGGTGGGGGCGTGGCGGGTGTACAAGGGTCGTCAGGTGACAGTGTGGAGGTCAAGGCAGGAGAGCACACACGTCCTCGCTTCACTGTGACATTTTAGCCGTTTTGCTGACGAATGTGTACGATCTTGGACCTTAAAGGCGGGTATACCCTTGTTGTCTTGACCCCACACTCTTGTCTTGACCCCAGACGCGTGTCTTGACCCCACGTCGTGTCAGGACATAAAGAAGCCGACAGTGACAGTCGAATGAAGAACTTGCGGCCGACTGAGAGGTGTAAAGTGGCGCCATTTTGACATTGGGCGGCAAAAGCGTCCTCACTCCTCCAATATGACGGTAAGAGCCCTTTAATTACCATAGTTTGTCTAGTGCAGAGAGGATAACTTATCAGTGATCTTATACTGAGCTTTACACGCACTAATTAGTCATGCAAGTAGTGATAATGAGATGATATAAGGCAGTTAGGAGGAGATAGCATAATGGAGGCAAGAGCGACACATCCTCCCTCGACGGTGGTCGGAGGGTGACTGCTGAGACGCGCCCACAGGTGGGGGTTTACGGTGTGGACTCGCCCAGAATGGGGGAGGACCCTTGGCGGTGCCGCCCAGCTGATCACCTTGGAGCACTTTGTTGCTTTATTATTTTATACTTCTTAATGGAACCATATTATTTGGTTGTGGTAAACTTGCAGTTTCGTGCATGGTGGATGATGTTTCGTGCTTGGTGGATGATGTTTCGTGCATGATGGGTGATGTTTCGTGCATGGTGGGTGATGTTTCGTGCATGGTGGGTGATGTTTCCTGCATGGTGGGTGATGTTTCGTGCATGATGGGTGATGTTTCGTGCATGGTGGGTGATGTTTCCTGCATGATGGGTGATGTTTCGTGCATGGTGGATGATGTTTCGTGCATGATGGGTGATGTTTCCTGCATGGTGGGTGATGTTTCCTGCATGGTGGGTGATGTTTCCTGCATGGTGGGTGATGTTTCGTGCATGGTGGGTGATGTTTCCTGCATGGTGGGTGATGTTTCGTGCATGATGGGTGATGTTTCCTGCATGGTGGGTGATGTTTCGTGCATGGTGGGTGATGTTTCCTGCATGGTGGATGATGTTTCGTGCATGATGGGTGATGTTTCCTGCATGATGGGTGATGTTTCCTGCATGGTGGATGATGTTTCGTGCATGATGGATGATGTTTCCTGCATGGTGGGTGATGTTTCGTGCATGGTGGGTGATGTTTCCTGCATGGTGGATGATGTTTCGTGCATGATGGGTGATGTTTCCTGCATGATGGGTGATGTTTCGTGCATGGTGGATGATGTTTCGTGCATGATGGGTGATGTTTCCTGCATGATGGGTGATGTTTCGTGCATGGTGGATGATGTTTCGTGCATGATGGGTGATGTTTCCTGCATGGTGGGTGATGTTTCGTGCATGGTGGGTGATGTTTCCTGCATGGTGGGTGATGTTTCGTGCATGGTGGATGATGTTTCGTGCATGGTGGGTGATGTTTCGTGCATGATGGGTGATGTTTCGTGCATGATGGATGATGTTTCGTGCATGATGGGTGATATTTCCTGCATGGTGGGTGATGTTTCCTGCATGGTGGGTGATGTTTCCTGCATGGTGGGTGATGTTTCGTGCATGGTGGGTGATGTTTCCTGCATGGTGGGTGATGTTTCGTGCATGATGGGTGATGTTTCCTGCATGGTGGGTGATGTTTCGTGCATGGTGGGTGATGTTTCCTGCATGGTGGGTGATGTTTCGTGCATGGTGGGTGATGTTTCCTGCATGGTGGGTGATGTTTCGTGCAAGGTGGGTGATGTTTCCTGCATGGTGGGTGATGTTTCCTGCATGGTGGGTGATGTTTCGTGCATGGTGGGTGATGTTTCCTGCATGGTGGGTGATGTTTCCTGCATGGTGGATGATGTTTCCTGCATGGTGGGTGATGTTTCCTGCATGGTGGGTGATGTTTCCTGCATGGTGGGTGATGTTTCCTGCATGGTGGGTGATGTTTCCTGCATGGTGGGTGATGTTTCGTGCATGGTGGGTGATGTTTCGTGCATGGTGGGTGATGTTTCCTGCATGGTGGGTGATGTTTCGTGCATGATGGGTGATGTTTCCTGCATGGTGGGTGATGTTTCGTGCATGGTGGGTGATGTTTCCTGCATGGTGGGTGATGTTTCGTGCATGGTGGGTGATGTTTCCTGCATGGTGGGTGATGTTTCGTGCAAGGTGGGTGATGTTTCCTGCATGGTGGGTGATGTTTCCTGCATGGTGGGTGATGTTTCGTGCATGGTGGGTGATGTTTCCTGCATGGTGGGTGATGTTTCCTGCATGGTGGATGATGTTTCCTGCATGGTGGGTGATGTTTCCTGCATGGTGGGTGATGTTTCCTGCATGGTGGGTGATGTTTCCTGCATGGTGGGTGATGTTTCCTGCATGGTGGATGATGTTTCGTGCATGGTGGATGATGTTTCGTGCATGGTGGGTGATGTTTCGTGCATGGTGGGTGATGTTTCCTGCATGGTGGGTGATGTTTCCTGCATGGTGGGTGATGTTTCGTGCATGGTGGGTGATGTTTCCTGCATGGTGGGTGATGTTTCGTGCATGGTGGGTGATGTTTCGTGCATGGTGGGTGATGTTTCGTGCATGGTGGGTGATGTTTCGTGCATGATGGGTGATGTTTCGTGCATGGTGGATGATGTTTCGTGCATGGTGGGTGATGTTTCGTGTATGGTTGATGATGTTTCGTGTATGATGGGTGATGTTTCGTGCATGGTGGATGATGTTTCGTGAATGGTGGATGATGTTTTGTGCATGGTGGATGATGTTTCGTGCATGTTGGATGATGTTTCGTGCTTGGTGGATGATGTTTCCTGCTTGGTGGGTGATGTTTCGTGCATGTTGGGTGATGTTTCGTGCATGGTGGGTGATGTTTCGTGCATGGTGGGTGATGTTTCTTGTATGGTGGATGATGTTTCGTGCATAGTGGGTGATGTTTCGTGCATGGTGGGTGATGTTTCGTGCATGGTGGATGATGTTTCCTGCATGGTGGGTGATGTTTCCTGCATGGTGGATGATGTTTCCTGCATGATGGATGATGTTTCGGCCATGGTGGATGATGTTTCCTGCATGGTGGATGATGTTTCCTGCATGGTGGGTGATGTTTCGTGCATGGTGGATGATGTTTCCTGCATGGTGGGTGATGTTTCCTGCATGGTGGATGATGTTTCCTGCATGGTGAATGATGTTTCGTGCATGGTGGATGATGTTTCATGCATGGTGGATGATGTTTCATGCATGGTGGATGATGTTTCGTGCATGGTGGATGATGTTTCGTGCATGGTGGATGCATTTTCGTGCATGGTGGGTGATGTTTCATGCATGGTGGATGATGTTTCATGTATGGTGGATGATGTTTCCTGCATGGTGGATGTAGTTTCGTGCATGGTGGATACAGTTTCATTAATGATGGATACAGTTTCATCCATGGTGGATACAGTTTCATCCATGGTGGATGCAGTTTCATGCATAGTGGATACAGTTTCATCCATGGTGGATGCAGTTTCATCCATGGTGGATGCAGTTTCATCCATGGTGGATACAGTTTCGTGTATGGGAGCTGTAAAAAGTTTACATTTACACGAGGACCAACTGACAAATGATTCTACTGTTTGTTTATACTAAAATATGAATCATTTAGGAAGAAGCCTCACTGATTACGAGATCAATTTACAAAACGATATATATGGAGAATCGGTTGATTATCTGTGTTTGTGAGAGGAATATATATATTGATGTACTTGAAGCAGTGAAAGGTGAGAATATTTATTTATTATTATTAATATAACAAATAAAAACTATTTAATCAGACGAGGAGTCACATTAACGTGGCTGAAATATGTTGACCAAAATATATTCACTTTCAAAATACTATTTAAAATATTTAATAATAATGCTATTAAATAATAAATACTTTTTAATAATAAAAGTAATCTATGTGTTGAAGCCTAGTTCAGGCGGTAAAGTGATTTCTGCCCAGCGAATTGATAGAGAACAGTAGTAGCCTAGTGGTGATTAATTTGGTAAATATACTACATGGAAGAAGAGACAGATATAGTTATCGATCTGTATAAATATCTTTCTGTCTTTCTTTATCACTGTCTGTGTCTCACTAACTCCCAATGGCCTGAAAGCATCAGTATAAAAAGCCACGATTTGTTCAGATCTGAAACCTATGTTTATGGGCAGCACAAAACGTCCACCAGACTGTACTGTACTTTGTGCTTTGCGGGGGTTGAGCTCTGGCTCTTTGGTCCCGCCTCTCAACTGTCAGTCAACTGGTGTACAGGTTCCTGAGCCTATTGGGCTCTATCATATCTACATTTGAAACTGTGTATGGAGTCAGCCTCCACCACATCAGTTCCTAAGTGTGTGTGTGTGTGTGTGTGTGTGTGTGTGTGTGTGTTTAGGTTCTGTGGCAGTAAACATGGGTGCTTGGATAAACAGATCTGCGAAGAGTCGCTTGTCTGTAATTGAACACGTACCTTAATGAGAAGGTTAGAATTTGCTGGCCTCGTTACCTGTAAGTTCATCTTTAATCTAGAATTTATTTCAACTCTTCAAGTGTCTCTCCTTCTCTCTAATTTCTCACTATCTCCCTGCTTCGCCTCGTCTTATTATCTTCCTAATAAGGCTGTTCTTTCTACCTGCTTCTTCCCACAATCTCCTCATTTTTTCCCAATTCTGTTTCAATATTTTCCTAATTCTTTGTTTCAATATTTTCCTAATTCTTTGTTCCAATCTTTTATTCCCTGTTCTATATCTTCTCTTAACTTTCTGTTCCATTCCTTTCCCAGCTGATAGTTCTGTCTTATGCCCTAGTTCCCTCTTCCATCTCTTAGTTAACTATCTGTTCCATCTCTAAGGAATTATTATCTACCTGTTTCTTCATTAAACATCTGTTCCATCCCCTTCCCACTTACCTGATCCATACTTTCGCTTTGTTCCATTCCCTTTTTGTTCCATCTTCCTGTTCCATCCTTTCCCTAAACTGCATATTTCACCCCTGTCTAGTTTTCTATGCCATCTCCCTTCCAAACTTTCTGTTCCATCATATCCCGTTTCTCTGTTCCTTCCCCTTCCAAACCCCCTGTTTCATTTTCTCCTTAAGTTGATGCCCCGAACCATCTTTATGTCTTTTCCATGGCCAAAACCCATTCCACATCCACCCTTCACATTCCCCCTGTCCCTTCCCTATCTATTTTTCCCCTTCCATAACTCCCTGCATCTCCCTGTCCCTTTCTCGTTGGCGATTCCCTTCTCTTTGTCGTTCTTCAACCTCCTGTTCCATCTCCATATCGCATTTCATCTTCACCTCCTTCCCACCTCCCTGACCTGCCTCCATTCGAAATTTCCTGTCCTATTCCCTTCCCATTTCTCTCCTATTTTCTGCAGTAATTTCATCCTCAAATTCCTGTTCCAGATTTCTCTCTATTTTCGTTTCCATTCCACAAATCTCTTGTCCTCTCATTGTCAACATTCAATTTTCTATTTCTCCCTCATTCGCTGCTCCGTTTCTCTCTGTTTCACCTTTTCACCCTGACTGTCTACTCTATCCTGTATGCTCGCTGCCTCTATCCTAACCATCTATCCATCGATAACTTTGTGCTTCATCCGTTCAATCCCCGACCGTCCACAAGTGGTTGGGCACCATTCCTTTCCCTCCGTCCCATCCCAAATCCTTATCCTGACCCCTTCCCAGTGCTATATAGTCGTAATGGCTTGGCGATTTCTCATGAAAATTCCTTTCCCTTCACTAGTTCACAAATACTTATGTCTTCTTATCGCTAATTATCTGTTATTGCCTTATCTCTGCTTCTGTTTCACCTCATACTGCTGATCCTTATTTTTAAGATTTTCCGCTCCTGTTCCATTGCTTCTTACCCCTTCCATTCCCATTGCTCTATCTCTCCCTCTCCTCCTCCCACTATTCCATCCCCCCCTCCCACTATTCCACCTCCCTCTCCCACTATTCCATCTCCCCCTCCCACTATTCCACCTCCCTCTCCCACTATTCCATCTCCCCCTCCCACTATTCCACCTCCCTCTCCCACTATTCCATCTCCCCCTCCCACTATTCCACCTCCCTCTCCCACTATTCCATCCCCCCCCTCCCACTATTCCACCTCCCTCTCCCACTATTCCATCCCCCCCTCCCACTATTTCACCTCCCTCTCCCACTATTCCATCCCCCCCCTCCCACTATTCCACCTCCCTCTCCCACTATTCCATCCCCCCCCCTCCCACTATTCCACCTCCCTCTCCCACTATTCCATCTCCCCCTCCCACTATTCCATCCCCCCCCTCCCACTATTCCACCTCCCTCTCCCACTATTCCATCCCCCCCTCCCACCCCCTTTCCATCTTCCGACATAACCCTCCAATACTCCAAGCCACGCCACCTCCCAGCACCTAGTCCTTGAAGTAAATACCTTAATATTTTACATGCTACAACTCCAATTTCCCTGAGACCAGAGTGGAATAGGGGGGGACGGGGGGGGGGGGGGAATAACCCCTTGTGTAGTGTTTACACAATTGCCTTGATAATTCGCCGGTATGTAAATCCTTTAATTACTTCATTTGCATCTTTTCAAGCACCTGGTTCCCTCCATGCCATGTTTGTTTTCAATCTGTGGTTATGCAATGTTATTGACAATAAAAATGCAATATGATTTGAGCTGTTAAATTCTAATGTTCTTTTCCAAAGTGGGGGATAATGCAATGTATATGTCGAGCGTCGTGGAGGAGAATAATGACCCAATCGCCCAACGTGTTCCGCCGTAAAATATGGCAGACACAGACTCGTGTGTTCGTCGTTCCAAGCTTCGTTTATTTGGCACTGGGGGATTTCTAGAACGACCCGAGACGACAGAGTTGGTGTCGTTATTCAGCGGCTCAAAACTAGGGGCTAATTAGGTCGTGTTACTGAGCTGTTTTAGTTCTCTCTCCCGGGAGCTGTTGTTTAGACGGTTCTTGAGTGGGTATACGCTGCTTCTTGTGCAGCTCGCCTTCTGCAGCTGCAACAGCAGCAGCAGCAGCAGCAGTAGTAGCAGCAGCAGGAGCAGTAGCAGCAGTAGCAGCAGCACCAGCAGCAGCAGCAGCAGCAGCAGCAGTAGCAGCAGCAGCAGCAGCAGCAGCAGCAGTAGCAGCAGCAGCAGCAGCAGCAACAGCAGTAGCAGCAGCAGCAGCAGCAGCAGTAGCAGCAGCAGCAGCAGCAGCAACAGCAGCAGCAGCAGCAGTAGCAGCAGCAGCAGCAGTAGCAGCAGCAGCAGCAGCAGTAGTAGCAGCAGCAGGAGCAGTAGCAGCAGTAGCAGCAGCAGGAGCAGTAGCAGCAGTAGCAGCAGCAGGAGCAGTAGCAGCAGTAGCAGCAGCACCAGCAGCAGCAGCAGCAGCAGCAGCAGCAGTAGCAGCAGTAGCAGCAGCAGCAGCAGCAGCAGCAGTAGTAGCAGCAGCAGCAGCAGCAGCAGCAGCAGCAACAACAGCAGCAACATCAGCAGCAGCAGCACCAGCAACAGCAGCAGTAACAGCAGCAGCACCACCACCACCAGCAGCAGCAGCAGCACCAGCAGCAGCAGCAGCAGCAGCAGCAGTAGCAGCAGCAGGAGCAGTAGCAGCAGCAGCAGCAACAGCAGCAGCAGCAGGAGCAGGAGCAGCAGCAGCAGTAACAGCAGCAGCAGCAGCAGCAGCACCAGCAGCAGCAGCAGCAGCAGTAGCAGCAGCAACAGCAACAGCATCAGTAGCAGCAGCAGCAGCAGCAGCAGTAGCAGCAGCAGGAGCAGTAGCAGCAGCAGCACCACCACCAGCAGCACCACCAGCAGCAGCAGCAGCAGCAGCAGCAGCAGCAGCAGCAGCAGCAGCAGCAGCAGCAGCAGCAGCAGCAGCAGCAGCAGCAGCAGCAGCAGCAGCAGCAGTAGCAGCAGCAGGAGCAGTAGCAGCAGCAGCAGCAGTAACAGCAGCAGCAGCACCAGCAGCAGCACCAGCAGCAGCAGCAGCAGCAGCAGCAGCAGCAGGAGCACCAGCAACAGCAGCAGTAACAGCAGCAGCACCACCACCACCAGCAGCAGCAGCACCAGCAGCAGTAGCAGCAGCAGCAGCAGCACCAGCAGCAGCAGCACCACCAGCAGCAGCACCAGCATCAGCAGCAACAGCAGCAGCAGGACAAGTAGGCGGAGGAAGAAGGCTAGGCTCCTCCTACTATCCTGTTGGGGCCAAGAAAAGTCTTCCTTTGTGCTGTAATGCCCGACGACTTCCGTAATGGCTTACAGCACTTAGACTGGAGGCGCGTTTTCGGTCTTAATACCCAAACAAACACGAATTACAAAATGAGGCTACGTGCTCATTAGCTTAGAGGCTCGTTAGTTCTGGTTAGTTACCCGCATCCATGCGTTGTTCACAGACCTTAGAGGTAAAAACCTAAGACTTGTATTTTACGAACTAGAAATTCAAAGTGAGATTAAAGTTGCTGTTTTGTACGAATAGCAATCGTCCTGGGTTCGATCCCAGGCGCCGGCGAGAAACAATGGGCAGTTTCTTT